TGAGATTCAACAGTCTTGCACAATTCACAGCGCTTACCAGAGCACATACCCTCCCCAGTGTCTATCACCCAGTCACCCCATCCCTCCGACCCCGCCCCCCACTTCAGCAACCCTCAGTTTGTTTCCTGCGATTAAGAATTCCTCATATCAGTGAGATCATATGATACATGTCCACCAGCTTTGCCAGAGCTCCTTTGTCTTCCGAGTTGGCCTGTGTGAAGGTGACGCTGGTGCAGGTCTTCCTGTGGACCAGACGCCCCAGCCTGGCCTTCCCCTTGATAATGCAGTAGGGAACCCCCATTTTACGACACAGGGCAGGCAGGAAAACCACCAGCTCAATGGGATCCACATCATGTGCAGTCACTACCAGCTGAGCCTTCTTGTTTTCCACCAAGGTGGTGACAGTGTTAACCCCAGCTCGAAGGACAGGTGGCCTCTTAGTGGGGACATCCCCTTTGCCCGCAGCTTTCTTCTCGGCCCGGGCCAACAATCTCTGCTTCTTCTCCTGCTTTGTCTCTGGTCTGTACTTGTGGGCCAGCTTAAGCAGTTGAGTAGCTGTCTGGCGGTCCAAGGCCTGGGTGAACTGGTTAATCGCAGGAGGCACTTTTAGACGTTTATAGAGAATAGCCCTTTGCCGCTGCAACCGGATGTAGCGGGGCCATTTGACAAAGCGGGTGAGGTCCCTTTTGGGCTGGATGTCCTGTCCGATGCCAAAATTCTTGGGCCTCTTCTCGAACAGGGGGTTGACCACCTTCTTGGCCTCCTGCTTCTTCACGACAGCAGGGGCCGGGGCCACCTTCTTCCCCTTCGCCTTCTTCCCTTTCGGCATCTTGGGTTGCTGGAGGAGAGACTCTTTTGAATCTTTAATAGTCTTAGTATTACTGACTCCCACCTCTACCCCCTGGCAGTCCCAGTTGGTTTTTAGTGGGAAAATTTTCCAAGTGTTTGACTTATCTTTTTTAATTTTTAAATTTTTAGTTGAAATATAGTTGACTTTACAATATTAAAGTAGTTTCAGGTGTACAGCATAGTGTTTCAAGAATTATATACCTTACAAAATGCTCACTAAATAAGTATATTGCAACATTATTGACTATATTCCCTATGCTGCACTTTTCATCCTCATGACTTATTTATTTTTTAATTATTTTTTATTATTTTTTTTATTTTATTATGTTATGTATGACTTATTTATTTTTAACTGGAAGTTTGTGCCTCTTAATCCCCTTCACCCATTTGGCCCATCCTTCCTCCCCCCCCGCCTGTGGCAACCACCAGCTTGTTCTCTATATTTATGAGTCTCTTCTCTCTTTTTTGTTGCTGTTGTTGGTTGTTTGTTTTGTTTTTTTCAGATTTCACATATAAGTGAAATCATACGGTGTTTGTTTTTCTCTGTGTGGCTTATTTCACTCAGTGTAATACCCTCTAGGTTCATCCGTGTGTTCACAAATGGCAATATTTTATCCTTTTTCATGGCTGAGAAGTATTCCATTGTGTGTGTGTGTGTGTGTGTGTTTACATATAAACACACCACATCTTCTTTATCGACTCATCTATCCATGGACAGTTGGGTTATTTCCATATTTTGACTATTAGAAATCATGCTGCAATAAACATAGGGGTGCATATATCTTTCCCAACTAGTATTTTCATTGACTTCAGGTAAATAACCCAGCAAAGAAATTATTGGATCATATGGTACTTCTATTTTTAGTTTTTTTGAGGAACTGCCATACTGTCTTCCACAGTGGCTGCACCAATTTGCATTCCCACCAACAGTGCACAAGGGTTCAGTTTTCTCCACAGCCTTGCTAATACTTGGTTCTTGTCTTTTTGATACTAGCCATTCTGACTGGTGTGAGGTGATATCTCATGTGGCTTGGATGTGCATTTCCCTAATAATTAGTGATTTTGAATTATCTCACTTTTTAGGAATAGAATAAAAATTAAAACTGTTGCCTTCAACATGCCTACATTCATTTAGCAGCTGGGGTGTGGGGACTTTGCCGTATGTGTGTATGTTCTACTTGACTTCCTGTCTACATTTATCTATTGTAGCAGCATCTACAGTCTCAGGAATGAGGAAGGGGTAAGAGATGGGATTGGAGAATAGATAGGCTGAGTGGAAAAATACAGGCAGGATATCCTCTTTCAGAAGGTCACGTCCCACCATCAAGAGTTGGGGGTTTATGGGATTCTGAAGCCCTCTAATTAAATGGGGGAAGAGGTGCCATCTTTCCCTTTTCTGCTCATCTTCCTCAATCCAAATCCACCCCTCCTTCACTCTAGTTAAATACCACCAATTGCATATTTAAAGTAAAGTACTGAAATGCGAATTTCTGTGGTGAAGTGTGGGATGGCCCGATGACGTCCCTGAAAACCCAAAGCCAATCCCTGTACTCCGAACTCAAGGTTTATATTTAGAAGACAGTGTGGATCCTGTAGTTTCAAAATGCTGTAAACATGTTTGTGTGGTTATTTTTAGCTTTTACAGACTTCAGTGAACTTTCAAGTTGGCAAGTCAGACAGTCAGTTGTCTGTTACCTCAGATGCCAGCACTTTGTGAAAGACTCTGATTGTCTCAAAGGTTTCTTACATATTTAAAGCAGATAAGTGTAAGAAGTTATCTCATGTCAACTGTGTGTGGTGTATCTATGTATGATTCTGCATACTGTACATATTTTTTAAGCTTTTATGAACTGTATCACTTGGGTAACAGTTTTGCTTGGAGTTCAAGACAAGTTGGGTGTTGCCAAATGGAACTGTTATTCCTCTGGCGGAAATAGCTAGTCGTTTTCTCCTTCTCCCAGCCTTTCTCTCCTAGTCCTCAAGCATTAAATCATCATACACAAATCCTTACAGTCACTGTTGTTTTCAACCCATTGTATCTACTTCCTCTTGGTCAAAGGTTATGAGGCTTGAGTGGTGTAGAGGGAGAGATAGAAATTGGACAGAAAAAAGAAAGCTGGGCTCATTTTAGGGACGGCACACCATAGAATGGGCAAGACAGCACTGAATTGTTGAAAACAAAAAGTAGTAAATGATCAACAGCTTTTCTTGTATGATGAGATCCTTATCTGCCTGTTACATGAATGAAAAAGAGATTGCACTCCAAGAATGCTGCCTTAGGAAAGAGTGACACCCCCCTCTGCCGTGGCGGGGAAGGGGGAGGGGAGGTCAGCACCAGCACCAGCACTGGTCTGAGTCTTGCACGTTTGCAGAGATCTTCTTGATTTCATTATCTGTGGAGTAATTTTTATACATGTTCAACTTTGTAGTTAGTTCCCCTCTTTGCATGAGGTTATTCTTCCTTGCATCTTGAACTTAATGTGTTTTATAGTCACTGACTCCAAAATGCGTAATTTATCTATTTGGAAGTGTCATTCTAAGGAAAACTTTCAGTGCCACATTTCCTTTGTTCTGGAAGCTTTGGTGTGAGTTTTATGTTTAGAAGAAAATTGTACTAAGCGTTATTTTGGCTTATTATGTATAAATGTAATTATGGAAATTTGAAATTTGTTTTTGTAACACTTCAGTGCTTTTCCTCTAGTTCTTAATGTTGCTTTTGAACCATGATCCAAGTCTCAGTGTATCCGTGTTTTACTTTATTGTGAATTGTGAATGTTCAGTAAGAAACACAGAACAGAAAATGAGAACATTTTTCATATGTTTTGCTGGAAACTCAAAACACTAGCTCTGTTCCAGCATTAATTATTTTGGATTGGATAGCAGAACAAGAAATAGAGTTTAGAAATTTGTCGGGTTTACGGAAGATAATTTTTTTAAATTCCAGATTATTATTGGTATTCCATTTTTTAAAAATCTCTATTGAAGCAAGCATGTTCTTTTCCAAATAATAATAACAACAACAACATAGATGGTATGCATTTGTGGGCCAAAGTTAGTTTGTGAAACACAGTGAAATCAGGAAGTCGGTCCACATCATCGTTCCCTCCCTAGGCACTGCCGCTTACAGTCGCGCTCTCCAACTCTTCGTGGGTCTTATTTGGAGCTGTGAGCCTCTTCAGCAACTGGTATTGCCTGTCTCTCAAGTCAAGAAGTGGACTTTAAAACTGCCCTGTCCATGTAATAGTTACCAGCCCCAGGTGACTGAATTAAATAAATTAGAAAACGAGTTCCTCAGTTGCGCCAGCCACTCTTCAAGTTTCCTATGGCGACATGTGGCTGGTAGTGCTGGGCTGGGCCATGTAGTCATTTCCCGAGTTGCGGAAAGTTCTGTTGGACAGCACTTCTCTAGACTGCAATTAGAATTTGTATCTGTGCTGGAGAATCTTGTGACTTTAAGGTATGATACCAGCTTCCTACCACTTAAACAATAACATGTAAGTGAAATTCTCACATCTTACTCTTCAGTTAAATGTGTACATTGACATCATACTTCATAGCATATGGCAGTCTGCCCATATTCTCTCTTATGACATTGCATTCTACCCTCAGGCACTGGAACAGCGTTTTACACAGGCATACACATGTGCAACAATTTTGAGTGTGTGTACAAGTGTGTGTGTAGGGACTATAACTATGTATATATAATTAAATATACTAACACAAATACTATTTCATAACTAAAATATGTAGATGTCCTCATACCGTAGGCACTGTCTAAAGTTGTAGTTTCCTAAGTTTCGTACATTGGCGTGGTTTCATATTGAGTTATTTCTTGATTAAGTTGGTTTCACTTTTTGTTCACTGAACCTTGTGGAGGAGATTTGATAGGATTTATGGCTGAACTCTTCCAGAGTAAGAAGGCCCACTGTTGCTTTGGTGTATCATCCATTTATGTGGAGACTAAGTGGGCAACAGAGACAGCATCATCGGGGTCACCAGGAGACATTGTCCATTTGTTCAGGTAACAGTTCTCACACCTTTTAGGCCACCGGGTCCTTGCATGCTGTGCACTATGCCAAGCACTTGAGGAGTAAGACAGAGTCTTAGGGAGGAAAGCAGCTGTACAAAGGACTGATTGACATGCAAGAGGAGGGTTCTCTGATAGAAGTTTGTCCAAGGTGCTGGGGACACCCTGGAGTGGTCAGCTCTACCTGGCACAGATAACAGGTAGAACAATAGAAAGTGTTACCAGTATTCTTTCACACCAGTTTCCAGTTACTCCAAACAGAAAAGTTCCTTGCCCACATCTCTCAGTATTTTGGAAATTTTGTAAACCGTGGGGGAAATGTTTTAAAAATGCCGTTCAAAAGCATCCTTTTAATGACTTTGTAAGATTCTGTATGGAGATGTATCCTAACTTATTTACTCGGTTCCCTTCTGTCACCAGCCTTACCACTCTGCTCAGGACAGAGGGGTTTCCCAAGATGTGGAACTTTCAGTTTTCTAAAACAGGAATGGTCCTGGGAAAACTGGAATGATTGGTCACTCTCCCTATTGTCAAATATTTAGATTGCTTCAATTATTTACTCATATAAACAGTACTATGTTACTATTCCGATGCCTAAGTATTTAGCTGCACTCTTGCATTATTTCCTTAGATGAGATTCCCAGAAATGGAATGAATGGCTCAGTGACTCTGGACATGTTTGGAGCTCATGGTAACTCCTACAGCCCTTTATTGTATTTTTGCCATTTTTCAGCCACATTGGTAAAAATCTGCCTGAACGTTTTGTGCTGCCTTTGCTTCCACAGGGTCTTAGGGAGATATGCAGAAAACAGAGATAGGAACATACTAGCTTGGCTACCATTCTGAATCTCTCACTGGCCAAATTACATATGACTCCAACTACCTTTCCTTTTTTTTTTTTTTTTTTTGGAACATACTAGCTTGGCTACCATTCTGAATCTCTCACTGGCCAAATTACATATGACTCC